GAGGATTTTTCTCCACTGGGCCGCAGCCAGACACACGCAGCTGTTTCTGTTATTTCTTTCCACTCGCTTAAAAAAAGAACCAAAAAGCCCCACCATGAGATCATTTACAGCTACATTCTCTCTGCTTCTCTTTCCTGGACGGGCTGACAGGTGAATCAGGGGGAGTTTATTTACACATTTACACAACCATTTATCCATTTCCCTGACATATCGCAGTCTGAAAACCAAACGCAATGGCTCTGAAACTCACAAAAATCCACATATACACTTTTAAAGTGACAGTTCACCTGAAAATGATCATTTATTCACCCTCAATGCTGATCCAAAACTGTATGAGTTTCTTTCATCTGTGGAGTGCAAAAGTAGACATTTATTAGAATGTCAACGCTGCTCTTTTCCATTTAATTAAAGTGCATATGAATGAAGGCATCTGAGATTTAAAATGACAAAAGAGCCCCATAAAATCATTATAACAGTTGTCCATTTAATTCTGCTGAACTCATATGATAATTATGATGCTTTTTTTTTCCATTTTGGAGCTCAAATGCCTCCATTTACATCCATTTACTGCTTCAGCAGACTTTGAATATAGTGCATGACTATATTCAGAAAAAATGACATTTTTGGCCTCAGTTTGCATCCATGTTCACTACATAAAAATATATTTCACTATATTCCAAGTCATATGACAGTTATGTCTGAAAAGAAAAGAAAAGAAACAGACATACAGAACAACAGAAAAAGACATATGGAATATGATAATGCTACTTTTTTGGCACTTTTTTGTCATGTTTGGAGCTCAAATGCATCTGTTTACATCCACTCTCATTACATGGAAAATATATTAAACTTACTATTCAGAAGTTGTATGATGATTTTGTCTGAGGAACAGACTTGCAATATAGTGCATGAGTCAAAAAGAACGGATTATTGTGATTGTTGTCATTTCATCACATATGGAAAAGAGCAGCGTGCACATTCTCCTAAATATCTTTTTTTTGTGATATATAGAAGAAAGAAAGTCATAAATCAAATGGATTATGATTTTATGGCGCTTTTTGTCATTTTTGAAGCTCATATGCCTCCTTTCACATCCATATTCACAATATGGAAAAGAGCAGCGTTCAAATTCTGATAAATATCTCCTTTTGTGTTCTACAGAAGAAAGAAGGTCACAAGGGTTTTGAGGGTTAGTAAATGATGACAGAATGTTCATTTTTGTCTGAATTATTCCTTTACGAGTCTCCAACACTAATTAAAGTTACGAGATCATGCTGAAATGAGTAATTTCCCCTTTTTAAATTCTTTATGATCATGAAACAGACTTCATCTGTGTCGGTGGAACATAGCTGCAGGAAACTAGCAAATGACACTCGATTGTTCGCTAATATTTCACAAGTCTCACACAGGAAATCAAACACATGTTCATTAAGTTGTAGTCCAAAACGGCAAGGTTCTGCAGGGTTCACACACACACACACACACACACACACACACACGGTCGGATTTAAACTGGGTTCTCACACTCTGACTCTCCTTCTCATCGCTGCCTTCAACAAGAGCATCAGCAACAGAAACCAGCTTCACTTGTGTTTCAGTGGCTGGTGTTTTTTGTGTGTTTGCTGATGTCCAGTGAAACTAAAGACACAAATTCCTCACACAAATCTGTATTTTTCAACGTGAACGGCTAAAATCACATGAAATCTGATACTTTCAATTACCATCTTATGGTGAATCTCACAAAACCTGTCAAGACAATGTCCATATTTCACCTCAAAAACAATAAAAAGAGAAAGTAGAGAATTTCTATCTAGCATATGAAAACAAATGAAGCATATGAAAACTCTTTATTTTCCTCATGCAAAATTACTACTAGTGATAATAAAAAAATAATAATTTCTCACTTTACAATTGCATTTTTTTTTTTTTGCATTGTAACAATTAAGCACATTTTCACCTTAAATTCTCATTACTGAAATGCTCAGAAACTACATATTAACATATTCAAATATTATTTTAATTGTAAAGCATTTATAGATCATGGCAGTATTTCTTGTTCTGCCTAATTAATACATATTTTTATTTAATTTATTTATTAATTACGTTATATAGTTTATACAAATAAATATGATGTATTTATTCATTTAAATGTAAAAAAAAAATCGTTGAAGTACACGAATGACAATCAAATGAGAATGTTCAATGAAAATAGTCATATTTTAAAAAAGGAAAAGGAAAAGGAAAGAATTAATTCCTGAAAAGGAAAACATGTAATGGTCATGAAAATATATATATTTTTTTTAATCTGTCCTAAAAAACAGGGATTGTTTTCATAATGCAAAATACAATGTCTTCTTTATTTCTTTTGAATATGACAATGTCACATTTTAAATACATTTTATTTAGAAAAATATGTTTTTATCAGATTCACCCTTTCATATGTGTAAATAAATTTAGCTTAGAATAAATATCTATGTACATTAGTAGTAGATTATTAGAAATATTGATGAACTTGCAGGGAAAATGACTCAAATGACACTTGCTTTAAACAATGACCATAAAGTTCAAATGTTGAATCTAATGCACAGATTTAAGACTTCTAATCTTTAACAGAGTAACGAAATATGACATCATATCAAATTAAATTATGAAATCAGTTTGATAATGTTATAATGAACATGACAGGGTAGCGTGTGTAACCTGTTCATTTCAAACACCATATGAACACACTCACCGCATGCGAATGAAGTTCACACACACACACACACACACACACACACGCTCCGCTCCGGTCTCATACGGCTCTATTGTCTGTAGATGTCATTGTGGGGCATATGCTCTCGCATGGCAGCGGAAACCACAAGAGCACAATTAAAAAACACTAAAGTGTGTTTACTGCCACAAACCTGCGCTGTTCCGGCTTATTAAAACACACAGACGGACGACTCATCTTTATATCACCACAAACACTCCAGCATCCGTCCATAACACTCCACATTCCCTCTCAGTGAAAAACAGAGATGTGAGCGATGAATAATTACGCCTAAAAATGCATTTTAAAATCAGACTTAATATTCAAAGAAAGCTACAGTGAATTAAGCAGCAAAAGCTGAAGGAGTGTCAGTCGGATGGACCCTGAACTCACGCCGCAGTGCCGTTTATGGCCTGAAGGGGGAGGAAAAGCTCAGGAAATGGAGCGATCACGTCCCAACTGAGCATTCTGCTAGACCAAACATAATTTAATTAACGCTGTATACTTTAAACAATCCGATGTGAGCGCAGACGAACAGAAACGGGGAGAACGTTCTGATATAGAAACATCTGAGCGGATGAAACGCAATGACAAACACAAGCAGATCATGTGAAAATCACGGAAAACCATGCAAAACATCATCTTTCTCATGCAAAACATTGAGTTAAGAAAGACATTTTTGTACAGTACATGCATTATACAAAACAACATCATAAAATCAAATAATCAATGATTTATGTAGCAATAACACCATTCGTTCACAGTTCTTTCACATATGATTTAGTGAAATCAGAAACAGCTGTGATATTAATCCACAGAAATCCTCATTTCTAAAATGTCTTGTTCTGTTCTGCATTTTTTCCTTCAGCATGTTTATTTTTACTCTAAAGCTTCTGGTCTTTTACTGAACAAACTGAGCGACAGAACGAATCGGACAAACTGAGGAGCACATAATGAACCACAAACTCAACAGCCGTCTGCTCAGCACGAACAAAGATCCTGTGCATTGACATTCACTCAGCACACACACGAATGAACGGAAAATCCTTCAGAAATATTTCTATTATCATGCGTGAAACCAAAAACACCACAGAGCTGCTTTAACACATTTTACTAACATCTGAAAACTGCACAGCAGCTTAGAATTTTAATTAATATAACACACATATAATTTGCTAAATTTAAAGAATAATTATGAAATGTTTATATTTGTGCCAAACCATTTCTGTATATACAAAAACATTTTTAGAAAAGAAACAATTTTGCGCATTTTACAAATAAAGGGAACAGATTTCTAAATGGATTTCATAAAATGTTAATAGCTCTAAATTAATAATGTGTGCAGATAAATTAGTAAACAGTAATTCCACTGACTGCTGAGAAAATGAGAAAATGTCTCAAATGTTTGTCATCTTCAAATCAGTATTAAGCTCACTAAATACAATACTACCATCAGAGATAATTCAACATGAGGTATTATCATCATCATATACTAATGATTTATTATTTAAATTAATAATAATAATAAGAAGAAGAACAGTTATTATTGTTTACATTTAATTATAATTTATGAAAATAATAAACAATTATATGATGTAAATAAAAAGAATCATTGCATTTACAAACTTAGTGTTTGCAAAATTACAATTTACAATATTTAATAATAATAAAAATAGCAAAAAGTATTCGTATTCAAACACACACAGTATGCATGTCTAATGGTATTCGTATTCAAACACACACAGTATGCATGTCTAATGGTATTCGTATTCAAACACACACAGTATGCATGTCTAATGGTATTCGTATTCAAACACAGGCGTGTGTCGGTGCCGTATGTGGCATTAATGAGTCACATGAGGCTCAAAGTGTTTCCCGTGTCAGAAACACCTGCGCTGGAACGACACACACCGGACCTGCGCGGGAATCAGCCGCGATCACCTTCACAGAGACCAAAGCGTCCCATCAGGACTCCATTATACCGCGCCTCTTTCTGTCCTGCCCCTTAAAGAACTACAGCACAATACGGTCCGGACGTCCCGCGGGGCGTCTGCTCCGACACAGAGACACAGAGTTTGGACATTCCAGCGTCATTAACTGGGCCTCACGCGACACACAATACACACTCACACGCTATTGTGCGGCCTCGCTGCCTTTTGACTGCAGAGTTAAAGTCTTTAACATGCTTTGTGCGACTTGCAGAAGCACTTCAGGTGAAAAACGCTCGTGCATAAAAACACTGACTTACTGATGAGGGCAATCCGGGAGGAACTTTCCGAACCTTCTTCGCCTGGACCTCTAGAAAAAACAAAGACAGACGAGATATTTAACCTGATTGATTGAGCAAATGATGATCGAAGTTGCATTGAAATGCAACGAAACACAGTTTAGTAAGTGACAGACAGTGTGTGTGCTTCTGACAGAAATAAAAGCGTGTGCGATTTGCCCTGAAGGTTGACACCTATTGAAGGTTGGCACCTCAAGGCCCGAGGGTTCATGCATTGTTAGGAACACAAATAAAGGGCTTTGAATGCACAAAAAGAGAAAAAAATCAATAATCACAGCAAGCCTCTCTTTTTTTGACAGAAGAGATTAAAATGTGTGTTCTTGAAGATCCTGACATGATGAAACAAATGCAAGGACTTTAAGAATAAAGCAGCTTTTTTAGAGTGAATAAAGCGGCTGATGATGATGATGATGAAGGCTCACCCATGGAGTCGCTGTGAAGGGCTCGTCGGCGCGGGTTTCCTGCGTAATGCTGGTAATACTGTGAGCCCAGTTTGGTGGGAGACACCGTCTCTGGACTGACCATCCCCACCTCGCCTCCCATGAGACTCGACTGGACGCAAACACAAGCGCACAGACACATTAGAGACACTCGATTAGGTTAAAACGCACGATTAAATAAAAAAAAGAACACATTGCTGAAGTGAAACACAAGCAGAAACAGACGTTAGAGACTCGAACAGAAAACATCAGAGAGCTTCTTAACATTCTCAAGACATCGACTGCAGTGTTTGTCAAGGAAACACAAAATATATCATTACACAGATATGAAATAAATAACCGGTTTAGAATACATGGAAATTCTGAAGCTAGATTAAATGCTGCACAACTAATAAAAAAATCTGGAAATAAATAAATACATTTGCTGTGCCACAGTGTTTTCCTTTCATCATCTGTGAAACTTCTCCAGAATAAAGTGTCTGTGATGAGCTGAGGATTTCATCAAAAAATGACAGAAATATACAAGCAGATGCTTGAAATGGCACATTTTGTGCTAAAATGATGCAATGTTGTATTAAAGCACACAATATTTTTACCAAAAATAAAAAAGGCCTTTAATTAAGATTTTTAAAGTTGTGATATTTAAAAGACAATTTGACCTTCATAATTAAAGCCACAGTTTGATCAAACAGATGCTTGAAATGTCAATTTCTTGCAAAAAAACAACAACAACGTGTCCAGTCTCTGCAAAAAAAAAAAAACATTGAATGGTTAGCTGGGTCAAGTCAAACAATTAATTGTATTTTCAGCGGTAGTGCACAACAGATGACGTACTTTCGAGGATAGGTGCACTTCTGTCATTGACCCCACTGGTCGTCTTCAGTTTAGTGCCTTTGCAGATGTCTGACAGCAGAGCTCCTCTTCCTTTACCGTCATCTCGACTTCGTTTTGGAGGTGTGGTGTTTGCCTGAAAGTCAACACATTTGTATGTTAAAAAGCCTGATCTATTCATTTATTTAAAAATACATTAAAAATGCATTTCATTGACTTGAATTTCGCTTTAAGACAAAATTTGTTCTGAATTTCTGAAATTAAAATTCATTTTGATATTTTCTGTGGGGCATAAAGACTGAAAATTATACGAAAAACTTTTTTCAAGAATAAATCATTTTGTTTTTTTAAGACATACATAATTGACATAATTACATAATGTTTTATTATTATTTATTGGGAAAAAAAAGTAACAAATGCTTTAATGCTCAATAATATAAAAAAATGCCCACTAAATGAAAGTTATATGGTGAAACCAACATGCAGAAAAAAAAACATTTATTCCATACAATTGCAGACCCTCATGGCTCTGTGTCAAAGTCAGTCTCTTAAGTTATAAGATTATTATTATTGTTTTTATAACAAATAGTGTCACTCTCCAAACTCCAAAATCTAATGATAACTTTTTTTTTGTTGTTGTTAAATATATCAAATATCATATGAATGATATTTTAGGAAATAAACTAAAAAATTATATTTCTAAATTAATAATTTACTTTTTTGGTCGAAAAACTACTTTGAAAAATATATAAAACAATATTTCTTAATTAAACCTAATGATATATATATATATATATATAAAATTTGATTAATTTAAATTTGGATTATAAAAGTTTCACTAAAAATTTCATTTTTTTTTTGTTTTGCTAAAAAAGTGATGTAATGTTGCATTAAAGCAAACAATATTTCAGAAAAATTCAAATAAAGGCCTTTAAATTTGAAATATAAAAATTGTGATGTTTAAAAGACAATTTGACCTTCATAGCTCCATCAAAAGAATGACAGAAATATACAAACAGATGCTTGAGATGTCAATTTTGTGCTAAAAAGCACTGCAATTTTGAGTTCAAGCACACAGTATTTAAAAAAGTACAAATGCCTTTAATTGCAATTATAAAAGTTCTGACATTTAAAAGACAATTTGACCTTCATAATTAGTCATAATTTCATAAACAATTAGAGAAATGTACAGAAAGTATTTTTTTGTTAAAAAAAGTGATGCTACATTGCAGTAAAGCATACCATATTTTAAAAAATTCAAATAAAGGCCTTTAATTAGGATTATAAAAGTTATGACATTTGAAAGACAATTTGACCTTCATAATTACATCAAAAATAATGACAGAAATACACAGTACAAGCGCGTTCTTGGAATGCCATAACTTTTAAAAAACAAAAAAAAGTGATTGCGATGTTGCATTAAAGTACACAATATTTAAAAAACAGTTAATCAAAATGCCTTTAATTGGGATTATAAAAGTGGAAACAATAAAAAAACAAACAAAAAAACAATTTAACCTTCATAATTAGAGCCAAGCTTTTCCAAAACTGTAAATTCAGGAAGATCATCCATCAATCCAGCATCCCTGCGAGTGTGTGTGACCCAGCGAAGCTCCAAAGCACAAACTCTTCCCATCATTACCCTGTTCTCAGTTAACACTGCTCTGCTAATCAAGCCCAGCTAACGAGAGCTCGCCCGCTCGTTCCAAAAGAAAGCTAACTGAAAGAACAGAGGATGTTCGGAAGTCCGATTCGGGAAAGAGCGCGAGCCCTGGGCGCGAGACGTAACGTAAACTTCCTACCGAACTTTTTAGGGACACTCGGGGGGTAACGTCCCGGGCCGGGCTCATTAGAGGATGTGATAAAGTATGGAGAATGTTTGCGCTGAGCTGAATTCAAATGACGGCAGCTCTCACAACAGACTTAGCGATGCTTGACTAGAGCCGCATTCACATGCAAAACAAGCTAAATAGGCCAATTACGCGGCGGCCCCTGGTCGCAGGCTTCCCCGCGGAGGAGAGCGGGGTCTGCCGCCTTTCACAGGCTAAAACAAAAGAGTCCTTGTCTTAAATAAGTCACCCCCTCTCACAGTTAAGGAGGTTTTTTTTGCAGGAGGGGGGACGCTAAAACAAAAGTGTCTCATTTTCAGAGGGATGAACGCTTTCTCCCAAGCGCCGTTGCCTCGCAACTATGGAGGAAAAGAGCCGGCCCGCCGCGATCCGCATGCCGAGTCTCATGCCCAGTTTGGGAGCCGGCTGGCACGGGTACCCAGCTGGCATCCAGAGGAAATATTAACAAAGATAAATGACACACACCTGAAGACGCCCGTGAAGGATTAATAACAGCAGGCGCATGCTTGCCTGGCCACCAAATGATGATTGCGAGAAACCGAGAAGACATTACCGTAATTGGAAAAGTGCAACAAACAACAATACGGGACAAAAGAGGAGAAAGTGAGAGGGATATCTCAAAAGCTTCTCCAAGAATGCAACGAGATTAAAAAGAGACCAAACAACCCCAGTAATCTCATATTTTACAAGAGATCTTGACGATGTTTCGCACTGAACTCATGCAAACAAAGTTTGCAACCAAAAATAAAAATCTAATTATGCACAGACAAAATGAATTATGCACAGACAAAATATCCTTATTGGAAAAAAAAAATCACAAATGAGATCTCTCTAAAGTCTCAAACGCTTCTTGTAGAATGCAATGAGATTAAAAAGAGATAAAACAGAAATTAAGAGCCGTGAGAAAAATCTCACAGAAGAGATCTCGGCAATGTCTCACACTTCAAGTTCATATTTGCAAAGATATCAAAGTTCATCATTATAGGGTTAAAAAAAGCACAAATGAGATCTCTTTAATTTCTCAAATGTTTCTCCTATTAAATAGAGATGAAACAACCCCACTAATCTCACAGAAGAGGTCTCAACAATGGCTCACACTAAACTCATGCAAACATGTTTGCAACCAAAATTAAAAATCGAATTACGCACAGACAAAATATCCTTATTGGAAAAGAAAAAAAAATCACAAATGAAATCTCTCTAATGTCTCAAATGCTTCTCCTAGAATGCAATGAGATTACAAAGAGATAAAATGAGCTCAGTAATCTCAACAATGTCTCACACTAAACTCATGCAAACAAAATTTGCAACCAAAAATGGAAATCAAATTATGTACAGACAAAATATCTTCATAGGATTAAAACAAACAAACAAACAAAAAAGAGACCTTTTTAACTTCTCAAATGTTTCTTCTAGAATGCAATGAAATTAAAAAGATAAGAACCAGAGATTTAGTCTCATGCTTTTTATGAGAAAACGATCCCTGTAATCTCAGAGAAGAGATCTTGACGATTTCTTACACTAGGCTCATATTTGCAAAGATGCCAAAGTTTGCAATCAAAAAAAAATAATAAAAAAAATAAAATATGTACAGGCAAAAAAAAATTCTAATTGGATTAAAAAATAAATAAAATCACAAATGAGATCTTTAAAGTCTCAAATGCTTCTCCTAGAATGCAATGAGATTAAAAACAGATTCAACAAGTGTCTCAAATTAAGCTCATATTTGCAAAAATACCAAAGTTTGCAATCAAAAATAAAACTCAAATTATATTTACACAAAATATTCCTATTGGATTTTTTTTAAATCACAAATGAGACGTCTTTACTGTCTCAAATGCTTCTCTTAGAATGCAATGAGACTAAAAAACCCCAGTAATCTCACACGAGTCTCAGAAGAGATCTGCTCATATCTGCAAAAAATACAAATCTAATGATGTACACACAAAATATCCTTGAAGGCTTTTAAAAAGTCACAAATGAGGTCTCTTGAAAATCTGGGAAATTAAAAAGCGATTAAACCAAAAGATTGCGTCACATTTCTCCTGGGAAAAGACCCCAGTAATCTCACAGAAGAGATCTCAGCAATGTCTCACCCTAAGATCATATTTGCCAAGATATCAAAGTCTGTGACCAAAAATAAAAATCGAATTATGTGCAGACGAATATCCTCATTGAATTAAAAAAATAATCATTAAGGAGATGGCTTTACTGTCTCAGATGGTTCTCCTAGAGAGCAATGAGATTAAAAAGACATTCAACAGCAATCAAGCGTCTCACAATAAGCTCTTATTTGCAAAGATACCAAAGTTTGCAATCAAAAATCAAAATCAAAGTTCAAAGATTCAAGTTCAAAAATCAAAGTTTGCAATCAAAATTCAAAATCAAATCATGTACAGACAACTATGTCATCCGCCTGGAACGGCTTCCA